TTTTTTTCTGTCTCTTTGATAGGAACCATGCTACCAGTTTTTTGCGTGGTGGAACATTATGAAAACGCCATTGAATATGATTGCAAGGAGGAGCATGCGGAATTTGTGTTGGTGAGAAAGGACATGCTTTTCAACCAGCTGATCGAAATGGCATTGCTGTCTCTGGGTTATTCACATAGCTCTGCTGCCCAGGCCAAAGGTAAATAACGTGTACGTGGGGCTGGAAAAATTGTTTGGCATCCTTTGTTTACCTTGCAGAGAAAGCAGTGGATATTTTTATTCAAAGCACTGTAGCCTGTATATTGCATTGGTTCCTTATAGACTATGGCTTTAAAAAAAAATTGGCTTAATTCAGTTTGGTTTAGTTAACACGCATTTTGCTCGTGTGGAATGTCGAGGTAGATTTTTTTTTTTTAAATTACTTCAGCTGAATCATTAGTATGCTTATTGACCTTAATAATCTGCTCCACTGAGGACCCACAAGGAAGTGAGGAGCGTATTTGAGCAGATGGACTGTTGAGAGTCAATTTGCATTTATGACTGAATATCTAGTTCTGTTTCTTTTATTCTGTTTCTGATGGTTTTATGGGCTGTAAAGTATTTTTCAATGCTGATTCCTTTTGCAATAGAGGATCTTATCTAAATCGTAAAGCCATTTAGGACCGGTTCAGCTATGTCTTATTAGAACTTCCTGTAAGTTAGGAAAATGGGCCCCATGTATAGGTTTTATGGATGGGGTTTGATTTCCAAAATAATCAACAACCCTACAGTCATTTACATAATTTCACAATTTGGAAAGCCTAAGCTGTGACTATTTCCATTGACCTGCCTTTTAGAGAGAAGGGAATCATTCAAATAGAAATAACAATATTGCTTGTGGTGGGGGCCATGGAAAAAAAACCACAAAAAAAACCAAACCCCTCTATTAGATATATTATCTGAAGGGTAAAATAGTTAATGGCATATTCCCTTTATCTGGAATAGGGCTAATCCAGGTCGGAAAGTGGAACCCAGTTCCCCTGTCATATGTGACGGATGCTCCTGATGCAACGGTAGCAGACATGCTTCAAGACGTGTATCATGTGGTCACATTGAAAATTCAGCTACACAGGTGAGTCAGGACAGCATCCTAGGGCAAAACACTCTGCTTACCTGATCTTTTGAAATAAAGCCATCTCTGGTCCACCTTTCATTTTATTTTCTCTGTGTTTCAAAAAGGTTCATTTAAATTGATTTTTAGTCCCTAACCCCTTCTGCTTTATTTTTCTAACTTCAGTGTAGAATTGAAAAGCAACTGTTCCCTTCCCTCCCCCCATTTGTAGGTTTGTGCAGGTTATCAAAAAGACAGGACTTTTTTTTTTTATATTTAGTCAATTACATGATGCATTACAAGAAAGCATTTTTACATAAAGTTTACTTAAGAGAAAAATATTTTTGCATAGCATGAACAGTGCCATCTGTGTACATTTTGTGAAAGAATGCCTTATTCACTATTGCTGCGATCTTATTTATTTATATATATATATATTTTACCATTTTAATTCGTATGAACAGAGTCATGAAAGGAAAATGGTTAATACGTTAATGCTTTTTTCACGATGGCTCGTGAGAAAGCAGCACACCTTAAATTGTCTTCCCAAGCGCATCAGAGCAGGAAGGTAGAAGTAACATGAAAAAATCGCCACCACAGGCAGCTGATGTATAATTCATGCATCGATACAGCAGATGTGTTGTATAAAGTAATTAACTAATCGGAACAATCAGGAGACCGAGAGCAATCTCCAGATGCATCTGTTTGATGCGCAAAATGAAATCTGTCTGTCTTAAAGGAATGTTTTGCAGCGGGATGCAATCTTGTAATAATCCCCTTTCTAATCTGTGTCTCAAATAGTTGCCCCAAACTGGAAGACTTGCCTCCTGAACAATGGTCGCACACCACAGTAAGGAACGCTCTGAAGGACTTACTGAAAGACATGAACCAGAGTTCGTTGGCCAAGGAGTGCCCCCTTTCACAGGTACTTAGCATAGCATGTCATACATAATAAGACATCATGGGCAGCCCTGAGTTGAGGTTTGATGGGGGGCTCCATTGTCTAAAGCAACTGGTATCTGAAGCAAGAATTGGCCAAAAATGCAAAGTGACTTGACCACTGGTGACTTTTTAAAATATGCCTGATTCATTCTGCACAGAGCCTTGACACTTTTCTCCCTTCGGGAAAAGAGCGAAGGAAAACCAGCTCCGCAGAAGCCTATGCTAGCTTGTTTTTCAGTTCCTTTTCTGAGCGCTCTACATTCTCCTGAGTGCCCTTATTTAAAGGAAGAATAAAAGTGGTATAACTTCCAGGATCCTTTAGTGAGTGGCAGTGTAAGTGTTAGCATGGAAGTCTTCACTATGCTGCCTGAATAAAAGAAGAGTACAGTTTTCGGATACTTGGTTCATTCCCAAAAAGAAGTAAAGAAATAAAAGTAAAAGAGAGCATTTAGTAAAAACAATTATAAAAGTAGGAACAGGGCATTGGTTTACCTCCCCCCCCCCAGATGCCTGCCATACCATCAGGAATTTTTGAAATGAGACAAAGATTTATTATTATTGTGCTTGATATTTTTTAGAATGAATTTTGATGGAGGGCAACTGAAACCCTAGCTAGAGACTGCTCCTGTTTCTAAATGTAAAACTAAACATCATTTTTGATAATGCTCAGCTGAATTCAAATAAAAAAGAAAGGATGCCATGAACTTACTCTTAATGGGCTGCCTGTGTGGTCATTACGTAAACATGTGATAATGTCATCGCTCAGTGCCCACACCCACTGGATGGTCATTTCATGATACAGCGTAATTGAAATGCTGATCTAGATTTTTACCACATTTTTAAAGTTTTGCTTTTAATTCAAGTTTAAAATGGAATTCTGAATGTTAGTCTGTCACCCACTTGGACCGCATGGCTACTGTACATATTTCTGCAATTGAGATACTCTCAAATTGTGTTTCTGATGTGATGTTCGTAAAGAGGCTGGGTACGTCTGGAAGGAAGCTTGTGGGCATTTGTGCTCCTATTTCGTGGAAACTCCCAAGCGTTTCAGGTTTGCTGCATTACAGCCTATCAGCTTTGATATTTGTTAGCAATTATAGGAATGAAGCAAATGAATTAAGTTTATAGTTAATGATGGCTTTCTGTATTCTTTTAAGGTAAGCTGTAGCCACAGGTAAAATGTTCTCTGCATTAAGTGCCAGTTTCTTGAAATTCAGAGCAAACTCTTTTTGTCATTTTAGCTTATCCTTTTATCCTCCCTGTCTCACCCTTGGAGTAGAGAGGATGTGAATTTATAACCATCCAATAAAGTAATTTAAATTAATTAAACACAGTTAAATCAATAGGATGATATAATGAAGCAGGTGACTCTTACCTCTGGGACTTTGGGTTTTTACAGACAACTTCAGATAAGATGTCACTTGGTTACTAGCATTCGAAAATTTGAAATGTCCTAGAAATTAACTTTTTTTTTTTATTCAGTTAAAATATGTGTAAATACCCAGGATGGGAATCTCATGTATTGTCATGTTACTAACTGTCCCATTGATTTGGAAGTAAATTCAGGCATTTACTGTGAGCTGGAGAAGAGGATGCTAGTACAAGTACTTATTGATATAGGCAGTGAGAACTAATTGTTAAATGACATCAACATTCAGCCAATAAACTCCACCTCACTGTAGCTTATAAATATAATTGTGAATTTACTTAATGTTATCATGGGAAATGAATTGAATACAGGCAATTATAACATTAAACAGAATGACAAAATGAAATTCAGAACTTGGTTTTGGAGTCATACGTTGGTGAATTTCTGTAGAGAAGCCTTTAGAACAACATGTGGCTGTGTGTAGCTGGAGATCCCTCTGTCATCATTCAGTGGTGAAACTCAGCTGTAACTTCAACACCAAGTTGTCATTACAGCCGTCTTTTCTTTAAAAAAATTCTTTTGAAAAAATGATGCATGTTTTAGTGGTTGCATCAAATATTAGAAATTAATTCAATATTTAATATTATGGAAAAAGTGTAACTTGTACTCTAAATGAGGGACTTATTTTGTATCCTGATCCATCATCTTCTGTTTCTGTAGACTGAATCCGTGCATCTGATACTCAATTCAGAATGGTTTACTAATGAACTCTTTTCCATTTGTTCTTTATTTGCTTTTCTGTCGTAAGTTATTAGCGAAACACATGAAATGTAGGCTCTCAAAGGTCTAAGCCCAAAATGTATGCTGAGCTTGGCAAAACTACTCTTTCTTTTTCCAATGGCTGAGATGTGGTGATGAAGATGCCCTGATGGAAAATACCTAGTGAATAAATAGTGTCTCAATCTTGTACAAAATGGAACCTAACACTAAGAAATGCTAAGAGTTCAGACTTTTTTTACACCTGAGGAGTTTTGATTCATTCACTTGAGAGCTTTCAGCATACAAGTCAACAAGCACACATGTTACTGTACATGAAGGATTTTGTTGTGTTTAAGATGATAAAATACCCCAGTAGCACTTATGGCTCCAGGGTCCCTTAATATTATACTATGCTCAGAAGAATGTCCACCCTGTGGGCAGTAGACTCCCTGTGCAGAATAGAGGCCAGGAAGGCTGGGGGGATGGGAAGCCAGCAGGAATTTGCCTGCGGTGTCTGACAAGCCCTAACCCCCACTGCTCTTGGGAGGATTGTCCCACGGTTGGTAAGCAGATGTCCAGTTCGTACTTGGAATCTTAGAACTAGAAGATGTTATCTTTCCCTGATTTTTCCTTGGACAGATGAAGGAGCCAGTGTCCCTAGAGATTAAAGTCAAAATGCTGGTTAGTGACTGACCCAAAAGTCCTTTCCCAGTGATAAATTTTAAAGTAAGTGTTGATTTTAAAAAGAATGCTTATGTTTTGTTCCAATAATGTTTTCTTTGATAATCTTTGCAAGGTTTTCGTAATCTGCAGAAATTCCATCAGTGTGCATGTGGTTTGCTTTATAACTCATACCTTTATTTCTGGTACTGCTTTACTATCATAAATCGGCCCAAAGAGACTGACATCCATTTGTTCACTTTTTGTACCACGTGTTTGTTTATTTTTGTAAAATGTTCTAAGGCATAAGAAATGCTTAGCTCGGTAAATCTGAGGTTGGGTGTTGTGTTGTTGCTCGCTTTTTTCAGTGGATGTGGTTAGATAAGTTGGGTGGTGTATTCTGAACTGCAAGTAATGAAGAGAGAATAAAAATCTGACCTGGTGACAAGAAAGCCTGTGATCATAAGAACTCTGAGAATATGGATTCCGGGAGATAAATTGGGAGGTAAAACAATAAACATTTTGATTTACAATAAAACATTTCTTTCTGATATTAGTTTTCCCTGAAGTTTTAAAAATTGAACTTAAACACTGGATAAAAATATATACATTCACTAGCAGGATAGATTCATTTTATTAAAAGTACTGTAAGTAAAAGGTCAGTTATTATTACTTTTATCAGCCTAATGTCTTCCTTCTAAAAAATGTTTAGGTCAAATAGTCCAGTGAGATTGTAAGCTGATATGTGCATTTTTACCACCTGTCCCCACCATGCATGCACATCGCAGCTTTCACATTTTGAAGGGACTGGATTGTTTTCCATTCCATTGTTTTCTATTTCTCACCTGGGGAAACGTAAGCTCCAAGCCCAAGTCCTACATAAAGTAAGTACAAATTGTCATTTTCATGTTTATAGTAGCAAAAGCTATATAAAATGAATTTAAATTTGAACATTCCATTAGCAGTAATATTGAGAAAAGTGATTTTTTGGTTTTCCTTTTCCTGCCAGCATCTCAGAGTCTAATATATGTCAGATTTTTTTATTATGTATTTGCAAAACAGATAAAAAAGGAAACTGGCCTGCCCTCCTGAAGCTTAGCGTTGAACCAGGCTGATTCTCTGAAACTTGACAATCATTCCCATAGACGCTTAATAAACCCCTGTGTTCAGCTGGTATTCAGTCTGATTATAGATAACACTGGAGGATCAATTTAAAAAGCCCTGTCTGTTATGTTAGAGGTATATATTGTTTTACCCGCACTTTGTGCTCGTCATAATTTTTGGACTGAAATTACATTTTAAAAAGTTTTTTAGTAAACATTAATAATCACATTCTCTGGGGAATATGCAGCATCAATATTCACATATTGTATTTCATATGAGAATCTAACTTATGACATTTATTCACATATTTATTCATTCAAAAATATGTATTGACAGTCTGCTGTGTGACTGGAGACTCCCTCCTATTTCCAGTATAGTAATAAGTATGATACATCTTAATAGTTGAAGTAACAATAGTTAACTTTCATTTAGTGCTTTTGGTGTATCAAGAGCGTTTCTATGACCCTAAGTGTTACATAGTTTTATATCCCCATTTTCAGCTCAGGAACCTGAGGCATAGAATGTTTACTAGCTTAACATGGCTAGTCAAGTAGAAGGGCAAGAATGCATACCTGGCGCCTGTGAGCTTACCCAGCTATCCCACTTGGTCACTTATATAGATAAAGGAACTTGTTTTTTAAGGCATTCTCAAGCAAATTTGATGTGCTTTATAAAATACTTACATTCCTCTAAAGTACTGATAACCGCTTACAATTTTCCAGTTGTATTTATTCTCACTACTGACGTTTTTCTTTCACATGTGTTTTGTTTTTGTGTCTTTGATTTTGTTGTTTGTACACTGACTTGCTTTATTTAAAAGTACCATCATCTCATGTCCCTAATGTAGAGCACGAGAGGGTGTGTTGCAGTCCGTGGGAACTGACTTCTGGAATAATCTGGTATTTGGGAGGTTCTGAAAGGTTTGAGAGTCACAGCTCTGTGGCAGTCACTCATATCTGCCATCCTCACATCTTTCTGGATTAGTAGGTATAATTGAGCTGATAGCCCATTGTTTTGGGCCCCAAGACAGTGTTAGGCATTTGTATTGGAAACAGTGGCAAGTTGAATTTCTTGAGTCTATTTGAGAGTTG